TTGCCGTTTATTTTATTGTTCTGATTTAATGTTGTTATATAGTATAAAATAAAGGTTATACTTATTTTGTGTTTACGTACGCTTCATTATTGTAAATTACAGGTTTAATTCACCCGTTTCCCAGTATGGCCGAGGAAAGGGAACTTGTAAAGAAGCGAGGGAGCTTTAAAGGCCGTTTAACCGCTTTCATCAATTATCTAGATGCCCTAACTGATCCTAAATCGATGAGTAGATGCGACGTAACGGAACTTCAGCTGCGTATTGGCAAGATTGAGTCGGTGTACGACCAATATGATGAGGTACAATTAAAATTAGAGTGTATCGTCGATGATATTAAATTACAATCATCTGAGCGTTCAGAGTTTGAATCCCTGTACTATAAATCACTTTCTAGGGCTCAAAATCTATTAAGCGATCTAAATAAAGATAGTGAATCTTTTCACAGTGGTCACAGTGGTCACAGTCAAGTTACCTACAATTCAGCTGCCTAAGTTCAATGGGTCTTACAACAACTGGTTGGAGTTTCATGATACCTTCACGAGTCTCATCGTCTCTAATGATGATATCGACGACATAAATAAATTCCATTATTTACGTACTTCTCTGGAAGGTTCCGCTGCTGTCGTCATACAATCTATCGAATTTTCGGCATGTAATTATACTGTGGCATGGAATGTACTATGCGAGCGCTTTGACAACAAGAGGTTGTTAATACATAACCATATTTCGGCTATATTTAACATTGATAATATTGCTAAAGAATCATCAGTTACTTTAAAGGGATTAATTGACCAATTAAATAAAAACCTACGTTCTTTAGAATCTTTAGGCGAACCCGTTAAGCATTGGGACACTCTTTTGATTTACATAATTACTCGTAAGCTAGATAGCAAAACGTTTCGTGAGTGGGAGGAGTATAAGGGTCGGATAGATAAAGATAGTAAAATTACCTTTGATACATTCCTTCAATTCATACGCGAGCGCGCTGATTTAATAGAAACGTTAGAGTTGTCGCGAGATAACTCGTCCCAGCCGAATATTAAGTTAAGTAAGGTTAAATCTATGGTGGCTGTGCAGGGTAACAACAATTCTAGCATAACTACAATTACGAAAGTTTGTCCTAAATGTAAAGGTGACCATCATTTAAATAATTGTGCACAGTTTCTCGCACTAAGCAACGAAACTCGTATTAAGTTGTTATCTACCTACAAAGTTTGTTTTAATTGTTTTCGTTCGGGTCATTTTGCTAATCACTGTAAGAAGCCGGGTTGTAAACATTGTAAGCGCCGGCATAATACACTTATCCATGTAGCTAATTTTAAAAATACCGCGAATACTAGTCAGGATAACCTGAAAAACTCGTCTGATAACTCGCTTCCTGTATTGTCGGTGCCGTCTGCGAGCACTGAGACAAGTAATGTTGCGTTATCGGCTAGCACTACATCTTCCTTTGATAATAATCAACATGATGTGTTGTTATCGACCGCGTTGGTCAAGTTACGTGATCGTAATGGTCGTGAACATGTGGTTCGCGCAGTGCTTGACAGCGGTAGTACGTCGTGCTTTGTAACGCAACGATTATGTAAACAGTTAGATTTAAGTACCAATGAGATAGATAAGTCGATATTTGGCATTAATAACGTGACGTCACGCGTAGGTAGAACATGTAGTATCGATATGACATCAATGAATAATTGTTTTAATGTAAAATTAGTGTGTTTTGTTTTACCATCAATCACAACTGAGGTGCCATGTCGTAATGTAAACATTCCTGACTTATGTATTCCGTCTTATGTCTGTCTAGCTGACCCTACTTTTTATAAACCTGATGATGTGGATTTATTACTTGGTGCTGATATTTTCTGGGACTTGCTGGGTACCCAGCGGATAAAGTTAGGTGCTGGAAAACCAATCTTATTTGAAACCAGACTAGGCTGGATCGTGTCCGGTCCCATCAGTCGTAATTACGTCACCTTGCTTTCCAATAATATAAGATGTCATTTTACTAAATTGGGTTCAACTGATTCTACAGATTTAGACAAAATTCGAACTGACTTGAGCAAGTTTTGGCAGTTAGAGGAGATTGATAAGATGACTTCTCAGTACTCTCCAGAAGAGAAGAAGTGTGAGGAACATTTTATTAAGAATACGACTCGATTGGCGAATGGTCGCTTTTGTGTTCGTATTCCACTCAAACAAAACCCTTCTGTTCTGGGAGACTCAGTCCATAAGGCAACTCAGTGTCTTTATTCATTAGAGCGTCGATTAAAATACAAAACTGAATTTAGTAAAATGTACCACGCATTTATGTCCGAGTATGAATTACTAGGGCATATGACTGAATGTAAACAATCAGACTTAAACCCTTCTGGTTACTTTATACCACATCACGGGATATTACGTGAGCAAAGCAGTACCACGAAACTTCGCGTGGTCTTCAATGCAAGCTGTCCCACATCTTCTGGTGTTTCATCGAACGATTTACAGATGGTTGGTCCAACTATTCAAGATGACCTTCTATCTATACTTCTTCGGTTTAGACAGTACAAATATGTCTTAGCCGGAGATATCCAGATGATGTACAGATGCGTGGACGTCCACCCATCTGATAGACACTTGCAGCAGATTCTCTGGCGCCATAAGGAATCAGATCCTGTAAAGGTTTATAAATTGAACACTGTCACTTATGGTACAGCTAGTGCGCCATTTTTAGCTACCCGTTGTCTTTATCAGTTAGGTCTTAACTGTGAGAATGAGAAGGTTGCTGATGTCATCAAGCATGATTTCTACGTAGATGATCTCCTGACAGGGGGAGATCAATTAGATGACGTCAGATTTATTCATCAAAAGGTTACCTAAAAGGAGCGTCCTTTTAAAGTTGAATGTCTATTTAGATAACGATAACATAATGCGTGTAGGAGGACGCCTCGACAATTCAGATTTTAGTTATGACAAGCGGCACCCTATTATATTACAGTCCACTCACAACTTTACAAAATTACTTTTTAATTATGAGCATAAGAGGTTAATGCACGCAGGCCCTCAACTATTGTTGGCTTCAATAAGAGAAACCTATTGGCCTATAGGAGGCCGAAATTTAGCTAGGGCCTGTTACCATAGGTGCGTGCTCTGTCATCGAATGAAGGGTATGGTGGTCACTCCATTGATGGGAAATTTGCCCCGGCAGCGCCTTGTTCCAGGTGGTTTTCCTTTCGAAACCACAGGAGTCGATTATGCCGGCCCTATTATGTGTGCTAATCGTCCAGGTCGCGGTTGTAGGCTCGTGAAGGTATACATCGCCATCTTCATTTGTTTCACAACTAAGGCTATACATTTGGAGCTTGTAGGTGACTTGACTAGCAGCAGTTACTTACTATCATTACATAGATTTATAGCACGGAGAGGAAAGCCCGCACATCTGTACTCCGATAACGGTACCTCATTTGTTGGTGCGTACAACGAACTTTCCAAATTTTTAAAGACGTCTAGAGATTCCTTGGGGGCAACTATGGCGAATGAGGGAATCAACTTTCATTTTATTCCTGCTTATACCCCTCACTTCGGCGGTCTTTGGGAGGCGGGTGTTAAATCTACCAAGTACCATTTACAAAGAGTGTTGGGCAATTGTAATTTAACTTTCGAACAACTTAACACCACATTAGTACAGATCGAGGCAATTTTAAATTCACGTCCATTAACGCCACTATCTTCGAACCCTGCTGATTGCACTCCGCTGACACCAGGTCATTTTCTCGTCGGTCGCCCGCTTACGTCCCTGCCGCAGCCAAAATTTGAAGAGCATTCCGCTAACTTTCTTAGTCGGTATCAGCGCATCGAACAGCTCCGCCAGCATTTCTGGACGAGATGGAGTAAGGAGTTCATTGCTGAGTTGCAGCAACGTGTCAAGTGGCGCTCTTGTAAAGATGGCTTGAAGATTGGTACCTTGGTTGTCATAAAGGAGGATAATCTTCCGCCTCTGCAGTGGAGATTAGGAAGGATTACGGCTGTTCACCCGGGATGTGACGGAATCGTGCGTGTCGCCGACATCCAGACCTCAACTGGCACAATACGGAGGGCGTTCAACAGGATATGTCCATTACCGGTATCTTCGGAATCTTGTTGAAAGTGGTACTTTCAACGCCCGGGGGCATGTTGTAGCGCCTACGTCGAATGCGTTAGCAATATGTCAACGCTCATAGTGTAAGCTCACTGTCACAATCCTGTCATGAATATTGTCTCATTTAATTTTTATAGTTTGTAAGTTCATTATAAAAGCTCACAGCATACAGTCCACACGCCTGCCTTTTTATTTCGTGAAGTCCTGAATTCCTAAACATATGTATTTACAAAAAAAAAGTATATAAGTATTATATCAGTCAATCTGCCTTTCAGAGTACAAGCTCTTAGTTTGAAACTAGATGGCGTTGTCAGATGTCCGAAAAATATTATTATTTATTTCATTATAACCATACTAAAACACTATACATCGTGCATGTGAATTACTTTCTGATCTAATAGGTACTGTGTTTTAACATCGAGGTCATATTTGCGTTGATAATTTTGCACTCAACTGTACCATGCACCAACTTCAGTCCGGCCAAAATGATTGGGGACTACTAAATTATAATGAATTTATCAATGGTGGTGTAAATGAATAATGAGCAAGTCGATGCTTTTTTAACTTACTTCCGTCATGTAAAGGCGTTATTATTTACAGTAAACCACATTTTAACTATTTGTCCCTATCTGAATTACCACCACCTAGCTCTTATATCGACTTAAATACCAGCATAGTATACTCGCATATTTGCATTAAATATCGTCCGTGTAACTCATACATATTAGTAACATTATAATGATTACTAAATTTGTTTACTAAACAGGCTGTTAACAGACAGGTTTACAATTAACATCCCTGGTTAACTGTCTAAAATTTATTTCATCCATCCACATTAAATAATACTCATATTTGCGAAAAAGATGTTATATTAGCATTTTATTTATACAGAGTTAGAATTAGGTCCACGTCTGCGACCGAAGGTCTGGACAACGTTGACGAACCTGAAATAATATTAATAGAATAAAGAAAATGAAAAATATGTAAGGTATGTAGCAGTAAATAAACCTAAAATAAAAAATTCGCTATCACAGAGAAAGTCATAGTGGTCTTTTTCCCTTTGTCTAAACAAACAAAACTAAAACACTAAAAAACAACAAAAAGACTAAAACACTAACCCTTGTCGCTTTTTGAACCGTGTTAGAATTCAGTTACATTACATGTGCAAAGTGCACATTAAACTGCCACATTATTATTGTCTTTGATTAGCTAGAACTAAATTAACGAGTTTTGAGACATTTCACTTCCATCACTTCAACCTTACGTCCATGTTCCACCTCATGTCACTTTATCTTGAAAATGATGGAGAATCCTTTAACTATATCTACATATGTACTTCTTTTAATGAGGCATTAAAAAAAATCATAGTGTTTCAAATTTAGAGAACATCCAGTTCCTAAGAACATGAGTTGATGCTGAGAAGTGCTAATCGTTCAAATAAAAGGGTGGGGAGGTTATTAACAGTAATAAAGAGTTCCATTATAAGTCTAAATGGTAACATTATCAGCCACCCACTACATGTTATGTTACAGAAACAATAATTACCTTCTGTTGTACTGGATCCTGCGCTTAGCACGGCCAGTCTTCTTCTTCTTCTTTTGTTGTTTTTCTACTTTTGGAGTCTGACCCTTGACCTTACCTGAAAATTGAAAAGTACATTATTATTTAAAGTAATGCAGAATAAAGTCAGTCAGAAATATCTTTATATTCATTAAGAATTGCCCAAAATGGTTTATTTTACCTCATGAGAAATCAACACAATGTTACTACCACAGTGTTTTTCATTGGCAAAAGTAAAATTACTATATCAAATAAATAACATAAAATGCTTTATTGCAAATATATTGATAAGATCAGTTTGGATTATTTTAATTTTTGTAAAGATTTCTTTTATAGTTAATATATTGAGGACTAAATTAGATTCTAACATTGTTTGAGCCTTTAGTAAAAAACATTATAAATAACAGCAAAACCCTAACTGTTAGAGCTGGAACTCAAGCCCAATGTGGAACATCTCAAGTTAATCTCATAATAAACTGAGGTCACTTAACCAATTCAAGTTGAGTTAATCTAGAAAAGCTTAAGTATGTCTTGTCGAGAAACTTATTCACTCTCGATCCACTTCTAAAAATATATGACTACCCAATAAAGTTACAGGCAAAATGTAAATTAGTCCAACATATGCAGAATATTTTATAAGATCCAAAAACTAAAATTTAGGCAAGATCAGAGTTTAACTCCTTAAAAGTTATCATACACAACTAAATAAAATATGGCTTATACTCAATTATTGAATACAAGCCATGTAACTAAGTGTGGCTTAATAAGATATATTTTTATGTCATAACAATTTTGCTCATACATACATATAAGTACAATATTATGTATGTAGAGTGTGATTGTTGTTTTATAAAAACATTGTTTAGAATTTTATGGCAGAACTGGAAGTAAATTAATTATTTTTGGACATATTTTTATAAATACTGTAAAAGTACTTATATGTGTAATAACTGTATTAAATGTGATGATAGTGGAAATAAAACTCAACGTGAAAGAGTAGTCAGCAAGATGCTACCTGTTCACCTCAGAGTACTGACAAAGTAAATAATAGCTGAAGATGACAAAAAAAAGACCATGCTTCTTAAGCCTACAAGTTCGATGAAGAAATGAAGCTCTTATTGATAAGAGTTTCCTCTTATCAATAAGAGCTTCATTTCTTCATCGAACTTGACAGACAATAGTGTATGTACAATTTAACCAACTATGTCACTATTGAACCACTAGGGGCTATCAAGAAATGGTAGCCAGTAAAGTTTAGAAAGACTGATGTGGTAATTTCATATGTTCCAAAATTATAAAAATAAATGAACGAGGTTGAATGAATTAGACCAGCCCTTTTCACTAAAAAAAGTGAGTGTTATTTAGGTACATATTAAACATGGTTATTTAATGCTAATACCTGATGTTTACATGTAATGAGTAATAATGAACATTAATAAAGATTCATTACCTAATGAGTTAGTGAAAGAATAACATAAATAATGAATAAAACTAAATATTAAATAAACCAGGATAACTAACTTTTTTTCAAATTCAAATTCAAATCGTTTAATTCAGACATAGTCCATAGGGTTAGTACAAACAAAGAAACTTACGAACTAAAGTTAGTAAACACAATAATTATTTTGGTGACCGGTGTGGATCTTTGCCCAGTGGCGCAACAGAGGGGAGTCCCACCGATCCGTAAACACCTTCAGGACACTGTTAGTAGCGGTGCGCAACCGGCCGGCCATGGATGCGGTCCTCTTTCTTAAGATTGCGTAAAAGTCGTCTGTGTGCGCCTCCGCAAACATACCGGACGCACTACAACGCCACGACAGCCCCAACAGCATCCTGAACGCGTTATTATATTGGACGCGCAGGTCGCTGTATGTCCTCTGCGTAAAACTGGTCCAAAGACTGCACGTGTAAAAGGACTGGCAGAATGCTTTAAAAAGTGTAACCTTTACTTGATTTGTACAGCGTGAAAATCTTCAAACCAGCATGTTACATCGAACAGTCAGCGACCTGCGCTCCCTCTCTATATCTAAATTATCCTCTCTATATCTAAACCTTGTGTTAATTTCTATATTCTAATAAACAAGGACATAAAGTAAGACTTTAATTAGACGGAAAGATTATTGAGTTTATTAAAAATTGTAGGAATGTACAACTTTTGATACACCTTCATTTTGAAACAAGTAAATTTTAGAGTGTACAAAATAAAATATTATATAGAGCTTCATTACCTTTCCCTAAAAGTATTATATAAAGTATATTGAATGTATTTATTTCTTTAAAATATTTCAGGCTATCGAAAAACTAGATCGCTATTTAAACTACCATGGTCATTTATACCATCATGTGATGCTTTCACATGAAGGTGAAAATGACCATGTGAGTTATTATTATAGAATAAAATTCTCAAAATCATAATATAATTTAAAAAGTTTGCTATTTAAACACCACTAAAAACAATTTTTTTTTAAACTACCACAATCATTTATGCCATTATGTGATGCTTTCACATGATGGTGAAAATGACCATGTGAGTTATTATTATAGAATAAAATTCTCAAAATCGTAATATAATTTTAAAAGTTTCAAATAGAAACTACCAGATAACATTAATTTCTTTACAACATTTCATGGTATTTAACACTGCATTGCTATTTAAATACCACAAAACTCAATTGTCGGGTATTACTTTCTAATATTTTGGGACTGTTACAAGTACCATCACCATCACTGATGAACGGATGAACTCATGAATGAAATGATGGCTATCGAAAAACAAATTCCTTAAAATAACTATGGTATATATCCCGTTTATAATAACTTTTCAAATAGCGACTACCAGAAAACATATGGAACACATTGATTTCTTTACAACATTTCATGGTATTTAAAATGTGATTAACTATTTACAGACTACTAAACTACAAACTGTACCACTCCACCGAGCTCAATTTAAATAGTTTCAAACACATACAACACAACAAGTAAATAAAAAGTATTAAGTGTTTATATCAAACAAATTAAGTACTCACCAGCACGAGCTAAGGAACCGTGTACTTTACCACCAAGCAGTGGTACTGTTAGGTCTAGCTCATAAGATGATAGCTCAGACACTAAACATGAATCTTCTAAAGGGGCTCCACATGAAGACAGGGTCAATTCTTCAGCTCCGATCTCAGCAAGAGCTCGGATACGCTCCTGAAAAATAAACACCACGACTTAGTAGATACCTCTAACAGTTCTAGCCTTTGATTATCCTAACCTATCAGCTAACTAATTTATACCATTGATTAAATTTACATGAATGTTACAGGTTCGCAATAAATACCACTAAGATCCATTTTTCTTATATTGAAAATTAGGAAATAGGTGCCTATGCACACACATCTGGAAGTATCAATCATGATCAAATCATCAATTACAATCTTTTGAAAAAGACCACTATAACTTACTTTGATCTGACCGACTGTCTCCTGTCCCTCAACGTCCAAGACGTGAGTCGACTGTCCTCTGATGTGCAGTTGCATTTTGAGATTTCTGAAAATTAAAAGCACTAGTTCAGCGGCGTGGTCGAATTGCACGGTCACAATGTCTTCACGAATTCTTATATGTAGCACGTATTCGCCGTAAAATATAAGCTTTGAACTAGCGTTATAGTTTTTCTTGATGTTCTTATGCACTTACATTTGATAAATTTGCGGCAGAACTTATTTCGTTAACAAGATCACGACCAATACTAACCTCATGAGCTGTCTGCGAGCGAAAGAAACTTTAGCAATGAAAGAAACCAGTGGTGGACGGAAACGGAAAGCCGTAAACCATAGATTTTTTTTATGAAATCGACTAACATTCCGACACAAGCGTACTAATGATGACAGTTAAAATTATGATTTTGTATCTCGTGGCAGCTAAGGAGTAATATTAAAATGCCTTAAATTTGCTCATAATTAACTTTATTAAACTGGTCGATTAGGGAACCAATAAAATTACCAGTCTATTTAAAAAAATGGTTAGTACCTTAGAACATTGAATCTCAGTGGGCGGATAAGTAAGTCAGAGACAAAGTTAAATTACTTTGCAATAATACTTTAACTGTATATTTCAGTATTCATTTAATTTACAAGTAGCAATTTACTCATATCTAGTTAAAAATGCACTTTACAATAAGGTGATATTTGTTACGATTATTTTACGTTTTCCTTAAAGTTTTATGTTACATTAGTTGTTAGTGTTGGCGGAACAAGAGTTAATATTATTCATATCAAAAAGCACCAGATAGCCAATTCTCGTAATAAAAGTTTGGTCACAATTCAGTTCCGACAACTCTCGATCTCACAATCGCTTGGGACTGCATGGTGACCGAATTTTTAATCCGTGAATTGGCGATGAATAGCGAACTAAAAGAAATAAAAAGTCAAATCATAAACTTAGTAAACTAGCGTAACGCTACTATTCTTTGAACTTGAACCCACATCCATCTGTTCTGTCAATCTAAATAGGGATGGGGGCAGTGAAAAAAACATTGAAATTTCGAAATTTATTAAAAAACATTAAGAACCTCTATTGCAAGAGGAAAAATTTCGATATAGAGATTAGTTTTTGAATAATAATGTTTTTACTTCAGTCTGGCTGCTAGATAATAGTAATTTTATACAAATTGCACATTATTTTGATGTTTGGAAATCTTAATAACAACGAAGATATTGTTACGAGCGGGTTATACAAAAAAATACTTTTATTGCACTATATTTACAAACAATCACTTCTACAAACAAGAAATCACTATATAACTCGTTAGTCGCACTAGAAATTCACTTCGGCGTCAATTTGCTGTGTCGTGAAAAAATACTGTCCCATACGGCTAACACGCTCCGCTTTAATAGGGCCATCGAAATTCCTAGACTAAGCCAAAAGATCCTATGGAATGTTCCAGACAGAACCACATTCAATAAGGAGCGTCATCTAGCGCTGCAAGTATCAGAATTATTAATTACGATCTTAACATTTGTGCTTTACTTGATACTAGACGGCGCTGTGTCGAACTGGCTACAACAAAATATAAGAACCATTTAATCCTATAGCGCAACAATATTTTCTAGTCTAGCAACAAAATTTATCAATGGGGTTTAGGTTCCACGACCACACTACGCAAAAGAACTTACATTTGAAAGTGAGTGACACAATATGATAGCACATACACACACATATGCAACACAAATACAACATACTAGTCGATTTTCGATATTGAAAATATAAATATCGACATTTCGAATAAAAAATCGACGCGTTAGTGTTACGAAATTTTACAAAGCTCAACAAGCCTAATCTATTATTTTTCATCTGTGGTTATCAGTGTGTCCACCCAGAAGCTCGTGATTGGCCGACAGAAAAAAGCGGCTGACTGTGACTGTGCCGTGTGATCTGTCCAATTTCAATCAGAATACTTTTGCGGAAAAGATGGTTAAATAAAACAGTTATTTGCACGGTTTATTGTAGGATTTAACATGCTTTCGCGGCGCCTTCGTCAATTTTTGTTTATACTAGTACATTGGATAGTAAATATACTTGTTGCCGTTTATAATGTTTACTACCGATTTCGGGATAAAAAGTATATCGCACAAGGTGACGAGGTGACTAAAAGTGATATTAAACTTGTATTGGAACATGTGCCAAAAGTTACCAAGAAATTGAAACATTTGGTGATCCAAACGGACCGGGATCAGCACACATACAGTGACTTGGCTCGCATGGTTATTTGGAGCCTATTAGCCGGGATAACATACGTGAGCTTTTACGATATATCAGGTAATTTGATTATTAAAATAGTGTAATTAAAGTTTACTTTGATGCCATAGAAAAATAAGTCGAAATTGCTCTAACTTTCTTATTTAACATTTACCAGTTCATTGGAAGTTTTTTAATTTAGGGTACTAAATACTAAGAAATAGTTGTTGAGAAGTAACACATTATTTAATTAAAAAAACAATTTATATTTACACAAGTTGTAACATTTTTAGAATGATGCAATAATTGCCATTATAGTGCAGTAAACCTACTGTTAGTGTACTTTAGTATTGCTGTTCAGTCAGGCTGTTATTATAAGCGAACGAGAGTCCAACTGAGGAAATACTCAGCATTATATACAAACAGTAACATATTTAAAGTTAAAGATAACTTCTTAGATCATTAATTTCTCATAAGCCGCGAAGTGCTGCTACACTGTAAAGTGCCTTCACCGGTAAGCGCTGTACAGTGTAGCGGCACGTGAGGAGTTATTTTTCAAACTGTAAAACAGTTACCCGATATAAAACTTTTAAATTTTATTTATGTAAAAGTATATCAGATATTTGCTCTAGATTTAGTGGCTTGACTGTAATATCCAATGTAATGAAGTCATATAGTTTAAGACAAAATAATTAAAAAAAAATGTTTTCAGGCCACTTGAAGAAAAATGAGGAACAACTTTTTCTAGAAGTTGAAAAAAAGAAGAAAGGTATACCAGGATGTATAAAATGGCAAAGGAAACCAGATTTGAATGGCTACACAAATGGATTGCGGGCTCACACAATAGTCATAAATATATTTACACATGAAGATGGACTGCCAAAAGTAGCACATTGCATACAGCAAATAGCAGAAGAGAAAGTTAAATATACTAGGGAAAGTAGTGAATTTACAGCACAAGAGTTAGATTATGTTTTAAAACTAATGTACCCTTCAATTCCTGACCCAGATTTAGTACTTTATACTGGTCCATGGTGCTGCACTCATGGGTTCTTGCCTTGGCAAATTAGACTTACCGAGTTTGTTCAGCTGTCGTTAGATAATAGTGTAAATATTGATAATTATTTAGGTGCTTTGTATAGGTACAATAAATGTGATCAAAGATTTGGTAAATGAGGGGAGCTCACAGGTGATAAGTCTAGTAGTGTTATTTTCGTGACGTTTAACTTGGTACATTATCACAAGTATGTGTAAATATCTGCATTTAAGAATTGGCAAAATTAGTATTTATATCATTAAAAAACCTATGCTGTTGTCTAGAAAATATTTATCAGAATAGAGAAGTATAGGTTTATAATTGTGAAATATAACTGTTTAATTTATATTTGTGGTTATATTTTAATACAATGAGTAATAAAATAAATTCATTAAACATGATAAGTATGCAAGTATATATACTTTGATCAAACTTTATACCTTTTTTTATTTAGTTTCAATTTTGCTTTGGGAAGCTATCAATCCTACGAAAATACTTTTGAAAACATTTCCATTTGTCAACATTGAGACATCCATATTGTTATTTCTATTTTAATTAATATTCTTTTAAATTCAATAACTTTTTTCAACGTGAGTACAGTCAAGAACTGTATAGAGAAGATGAAGATACTAAAACTGTAAATATCAACATTTTTGGTACTGAATGTAGTAACTAGAAATAAAAAAATTGGCTATACTAGATATTTAATTAGATCATTAATATGAACATAAAATAAAATCTTCAAAAAAAACATAAACCACTGTTTTAAAATCTGATTAAAACATAGTTTTGTAATTTCAGCACAAGTATACATGTGCTAAATAAATTTTATACTACACCTTAAATTGGCGAATGGTGTGAGTACCTATTTAAATGATTTTGAAACAATATACCTAACATGTGCATATGTAATAAGTTTATCATTTTTTCCTTAACTTTGTTTTGCCCGTCAACCAGCGCTTTGTTATGGTAGAGGCCTCTTGGACATCACTAAAGATGTTAACACCAAAGATTTCGATGTGTTAATTACTCTACTGTTTATACTTTTTATTTCCATTCCATTTAACTCCTAATACTTGCTGCCCAGGCCCGTTGAGTGATAGCGTGATAAAATGTGTTGCACACTATACGGTTAACCTAAATCATTTTTTGACGTGACAACGTCTTATAATTCGATGGAGCCGGCTGCACGCACGAAAAAACATGACTCATGCGGCGTTACCTCGCTCTAAGGCGTTCCATTTAGAAGTGCAAGCGAGAGCGCGGAACGAGCGACAAAGAGGCACAATCGGCCTCCGCGTTCGGCAGCGTTCGACATCTGTCTAACAAATTAAATTAAAATTTTCTTTTGAAAAAGCAACCATTCCATTAGTATTTTCTTATGACGTTGTCACGTTCAACTATCGTCAGTAAACCGACTTTACAGACAACCGATTTTTTTTTTTTAATGAGAATCGCGCACAACAGACACAGACAGATACAGAAAAGAATTTCGCCTGGTCCGGGAATCGAACCCACTAAAGCAGCGCTTCAAATTCAAATTCTACGCATATATTCTACATATATATATATATATATATATATTCTTAATATTATAAGTCGTTTATTCCCGAAGAGGTAGACAGGCGAATTTCTGAAACCTACATGTTTGTTGTTCCACTTGCGTAATAGGCTCAAATATATCTGAATAACTACACCCTAAAACAGAACAAAGATATTTGTCCTTTGTTGTCGAACCAACGACTTCTGGTTTGGCAGTATGGATCGCTTACCACTAGAGTCAGACCAACCAGCCCGTTAACAACATTATTATTAAAATATACGTGTATGACTGTATGTTTAAGAATGAATCGTTTTATTTGGTCAAATCTAATAAGGACAACACCAGATTATGGAATTAATTGTCTTGGTATTTAAAACATGGTTCAAAAGTGTTGGGTATTCCTATCACCATTTTGTAAGCTACTTTTTTCTTTTAAACAAAACCAACAGTTTTGTCATCGAAATAGTAACAATAACATACAACGTTTAGCCAATTCAAGATCTTGACAGATAATAGTTTTTACACTTTCTGAAAAATTGATTTTTTTTGTGAATAACCAAACCGGATAATTATCCCATTTATAAATTTTTGACGGTAGGTACATGTTTAATACAATCTTTTCAAAAACGAATAAAAAAAAACTGCACATTCTGCACGTATGTTACTAAATATGTCAATTCACTTGTACTTGTCAGTTTCACTGATGAGGTCCTTAGTACAGGGTCTATATTAAGTATCATAAAGAAAAACAAGACTGACTGGTATGTAGTGAAACAATCGAAAGAGAAATAATGCCACACAAATAAGCTTCTAAATTCAGGTAGGTTCATAATTATATTTGAGATAGCTGTCATATAGCGAGCAAGGGGACAAGTAAATCAAACAGCGTCTAAACCAAGATTGATCTTTATTTCAATAGCCGGCGCCTCATCGGGCCTCCTACCCACATATATTTATTATTGGTGTTGTGACCTAATTACATATACCTACAACCCCTTTTCTCAAACAAAGTTTTTCTATTTATTATATTAATAACCATAATTATAATATAAATAATAATAATCAAATTTAACACTACTAATTATAAACAACAATCAATGTCCCTAATAGAAATGTGAAAATAGTATAAACATGCAATAATTGAAAGTGAAGTGATTTTGCATAAAATCAAAATCAAATCATTACAAAGTAACGTTACTCATTACTTAAGTGAAAATTTATGCAATGCAATGAGATAATTAAAATCTGTTCAGACATACATAAGACATACGAGTACACATAATCATTTAAAAAGGGTACTTATAAACAATTATAAGCACCTACAACATAAACAATCTGTATTATTTTTCTACTTATTTATTCAATTATAGAATTTAAAATAGATACGAGTACGTTATACGGATTAAATCAATATGAAAATTACATTTAATACATTTTTACGAATTAATTTAAATTTACAATCAATTTAATTTCTATTCTAATATTTAATAAAAAAAAATTATTTCCACAATCTAGATTTAAAATATTTTATTTAAAATAAGAAACAAACATATTATTTAGCATGGTATTTACAATTATAATCTAAAACGTTCTATTACAAAATGATAATATTAATAAAACATTCCATCATGAAATCATATCATTAAAATTATATTTCAGTTTTAAATAAGTTTGATATACATTTTATTTTCCTTTTTACCTATGGAATTTCGGTTTTTTGAGTAGCCCCACCGATCAGGAGGCCGCACTATCCTGCCGAAACGAGTACGATATGCATTAGAACAGTTATCATCAGCTGATTGTAAGACTAGTTCACCGGAGCCAACAGACGTGGATTGAGATGTGTCTAAGTTTATATCGTCATATAACAAACTGTATTCATTCTGTGGTGATAAGCAAGTGCGGTTCGAATCAGCAATCAAATGTCTTCTATTGCGTCTCAAACTAGTTCCGTTATTCAATAACACAACATATGATCGCATTCCAAACCTGTTTTTTACAATGCCCGATTGCCAAGTATTGTTTATTCTAACTTTTACTTTCTGTCCTACACATAAAGGTGTTAAGTTCTTTGATCCTCTATCATAATAATATTTTTGAATTTGTTGACGACTTTTAATCTTTTGTGCCGTGTTATTATGTAATGTTGGCTTTAATAATATAGGGTTGCACGGCACGATGCTACGTAGCTTTCTATTATATAGTAACTCTGCGGGTGATGGTAGTTCTTTGCTAATTGGTGTATTTAAATACTCTAATAACGCCAAGTTAAAATCCGATTGATCATACGCAGTTTTTCTAATGATTTGTTTTATAGTTTGAATGGACCGCTCGACCTGACCATTGGACTGTGGGTATCTAGGCGACGACGTGACGTGACGAAATTTCCAGTTTCTTGCAAAATCAGAAAATGCTAAAGATGAGAACTCGGGGCCATTATCTGACATAACCGTCTCTGGAATACCTTGTCTCCCGAATATTGTTTTTAATTTATTTATAACATTTTCAGAGGTCATTGAATTTAATTGTGCCAATTCAATGAATTTACTGTGATAATCCACCGCTATTAAATACGATTTGGAACCTAAATGAAAGATATCTATACCGACTTTGCACCACGGTCTATCAGGTATTTCATGCGGAATTAAGGGTTCTTTTATATTTTGTTTTCTATAGTTCAAGCATGCCTGACACTTCGATAAGTAATCTATTAATTGCGTGTTCATATTAGGCCAATACATAATTTGACGAGCTCGAAGCTTACATTTCTCAATACCTAAATGACTACTATGTATATTTTTTAACATTTTATAACGCATTGATTTAGGAATGACAACCCTACAGCCTCTCCATACTATGCCAAAATTTACAACTAACTCCTCCTTGCATTCCCAGAAGGGTTTTAATTTATTATCTAGAGTACTCTTATCAACTGGCCAACCCCGTTTTATGGTTTTGATTAATAATTGCATGTCTTCGTCTTCTAAAGTGCTTTATTGAATTTCTACAAAATGCGTGTCCGTCAATACATTACTAGCACTGATCGAACATACTTGCGCCTGCGCGTCGTAGTGATTACGTGAGTGAACTGAATCGACTGGCTCCGCGCTCGGTGCAACCGCACGCGATAATGTATCGGCTATGTATAAATATCGGCCGGGCTTATATACTAATGTAAACGTATACGGTTGTAATCTCATTAGCATTCTTTGTAGGCGCGCAGGTGCATTTGCTAAAGGCTTATTTATAATATTTACTAAAGGTTTATGATCGGTTTCTATCGTTATTTCTGTTCGTCCGTAGATGTATGTATAAAACCTTTCACAAGCAAAGACACAGGCATACAGCTCCTTTTCTATCTGTGCATATGACTGTTCGGTTTTAGTTAGTGCCTTTGATGCATAACATACAGGCAAATTACTTTGCAATAAACAAGCCCCCAGACCGTTTTTACTCGCATCCACGGATATTACAACCGGTTTCAGTGGATCATAAAATTGCAAGACCGGTGGATTCACAAGAAGACATTTTATTTCGTTAAAACATTGATTATGTTTGTTTGTCCAGTGCCATTCTATGTCTTTTTTACGTAATTCTCTCAAAACACACGTTTTGTCTGATAAGTTGGGTATAAAATTACCAACGTACGTAACTAAACCCAGAAATCTCTCCACATCCTTTACGCAGGTAGGAGTGGGCATATTTTTTATTGCGTTTATATGCGAATCGTCAGGGCTTACGCCATCTTTGGAAATTTTGTGCCCCAAATATTTTATTTCGGTTAGACCAATTTTGCATTTTTCTTTATTTAATTTTATATTAATGACCTCACATCTTTTAAGAACCGTACGTAATCGTTGATCGTGTATTTCTTTTGTGGGACCCATTATTAAAATATCGTCGACAAATAAAATTACACCCTCAATATCATCCAGATGTTCATACAAACGTTTATGAAATATTTCTGACGCGGACGAGATACCGTACGGCATTCGTAAAAATTTATATCTACCAAATGCAGTATTAAACGTACATAGATCGGTACTATCTTTATGCAATTTTACCTGCCAAAATCCCTGATTTGCATCTAAAGTGCTAAAATATTTGGAGCCTGCTAGTTTGGTGACTATTTCCTCAAACGTAGGTAGTTTAAAATGCTCCCGCTTAATTGCACTGTTACGATCCCTAGGGTCTAGACATATACGCAAACTCCCGTTAGGTTTTTTGACTACCGTCATACTATTAACCCAGTCCGTAGGTTTATCAACTTTAGCTTTTATACCTTCTCTTACCATCTCTTCTAACTTAATTTTCACTTGGTCTCGAATTGCAACTGGTAGCTTTCTAGGAGCATGTACAACTGGCTCGACATTATTTTTTATTTGTATTTTGTACTCGCCAGGTAAACAGCCCATGCCCACAAAAACTTTAGGAAACTCGTTCAAAATGCTGTAACTAAACTGCTTATCTTGGCTAATTGACATTATTCTCTTGACCAATCGCAACTCCTCTCATGCACTTCTACCCAGTATCGGGGATGAAGGCGTATCAACAACGATAAATTGCAAAAAGAAAACATTATTTTTATATTTCACTTTCAAATAACACTTGCCTATCACCGAAATAACGTCACCAGAGTACCCACTTAATTTAAATGATGTTTTCAATAAATCATTATCTGATAAATTAATTGTTTTGAGAAATTTACGAGGTAAAACATTTACGTCGGCTCCAGTGTCTAATTTAAAACTAATTATCGTACCATTTACAATTTCTAGTGCTACTAGCCACTCATTACAATTACAAATATTTTTGTTTATTACCTGATCGGTGGAGTCCTCCAGTACGGAATGAACTCTGCACATCCTCGCAAAGTGGTTGAACTTCATGCACCTTTGACCCCGCGCCGGACACTCGTACCTTCTGTGCACTCGACCGCAGTACCCACATCTGTTTGCATGCTGATATCGCTGTACTGTTTGTTTAGGCGTCTGAGTTGAGTGGTTCACCGTGTCTTGTCTCGGCGGATGGTCATAACGAGAACGGCCGGTCTTTGTCTGCTGTGATGTGCGTGAACCCTGCGTGGACTGCTCGCGTCGCTGTATCCCATTAATGTCGTGCTCGCTTATCTTTTCTTCATTAATCGCGTGTACCTGGCTATTATATTCTTGGTTTTCCTTGATGTTCCTTGCTTGCATACGCGACATTTCCGCCAATCTGCATATTTCGATTGCTTTTTCTAACCTCATGTCTGGTTCACGTAATAATCTTTCGGATAGGGCTATATCCCTTATGCCACATATCAACCTGCTACAGACAAGATCGTCACGTAAATCTTTAAATTCACACTGGACCGCCATCTTGTTTAATTAAAAAACGTATTGTTCTGCAGATTCTAACTCCCTTTGGTCCCTCTTGAAAAACTTATGGTGTTCCACTGCCAAATTTTTCTTTGGTATAAAAAAGTCATCAAACTTTTTTAATAACTCATCCACCGTATTCCACTGTTCATTAAATTGTGCCGCTACTTCTCGACATTTCTCGCCAACAATATGTAGCAAAATGTTAACTTGCGTTTTCTTGTTTTTGTTGGATAATTCACAAGCTTCATAGTAGATGTTGAATGCAGTCTTCCACTTTTGCCATTCTGTACTCAGATTCCCAGCAGTTATGTTGCACAAACTATTATCAAATTGAAACGGCGGCGGTGGCTGAAGAACGGATTCCATTGTATTTTTTTTTTTTTTTTATATTGCTATTCGATTTCTGTCCGATATCGACTTCTCACTTCAATATCTTCTTTTCCTTAGTATTATGCATTTTATCTTATACCGGCTGCGCCATGTCATATAGGGAGCAAGGGGACAAGTAAATCAAACAGCGTCTAAACCAAGATTGATCTTTATTTCAATAGCCGGCGCCTCATCGGGCCTCCTACCCACATATATTTATTATTGGTGTTGTGACCTAATTACATATACCTACAATAGCCGAATATAAATTTAATACAAAAGTAGTAGTAGGTACTCACTTAACCTTTTGCTAAACTTGCAGTCACTTCGGATTGCTTTAAATAATAGCTGATGTGTTGCAAGCTGGATATTCTAAACTAGTTACATTCACGAGTTCAACACTGACAATTAACATTCCTTTTTCATTCCGTTCCCATCTAAAGTTCCTATGCCTTCCACTAATTTTGTTATTGAACTTGAATGTAGCTGAAAGTAACAAGCATTTCTTGAGTTTTTAATAAAAAGCTTTAATGACCCCCTCCTATAAGTTAATTTTAAAATTGTGAGGCATAAAATAAAAACAAAAGTTCGGAGTTAGGTGTTTATTGAAATTCGATGAATAATAAGTGCACACTAAAATATGTACTATACACAATTACTAATATTTACATATGATGCGCGGCTCAATCGTTGTTTCCATCTGGAAGAAAAATAAAAATAAAATATATCACAATCTTAATTTTTTTGATGTCAGAAATGTGAAAATTGATATTTGATAAAATTAATCTTGCTAAAACTGTTCAAAATATTCAGATGTTATCCGATTCCGTAATTCGCGATAACACGGAGATGATGTTTCAAAGTCAATGTACATATCGTTATCTATGACGTGCTTGATTAAACAAAAACAAATCATCTATAGTTCTACGCAGAAAAGGGTGGGCGAATATTCGTTCTTTTTTTAATCTTTTATTGTTATGCATTAATTACCGGTAACGACAACGATAATACTAACATTACTTTTAACTATTATCATATAATATTATTATCAGTATCAATATTTTATGATATACTATAATTCATAGGGTATTTGTACGATTCGTAAAACAGGATATAGGCTAAATCAGTAAACTCAGAAATACATTTTAGTGACTACCTATAATAATAATATTGATAAAAATGGTATTAATGATAATGCTATTTGTGAACGCAATCTGATTCGCAATATGATTAAAGCTACGAACGAAGAGTTGCTGACGCGATACAACTTTGTGCATGATATAAAGGGGTTAAAATATGAATTTTGAATATTAACTCTCTCACTGCTCAATAACACACACCCAGTGTTAATAAAAACTTTCTCCAGGGCTGATAAAATATGTTTTTTTATCCAATACTGCTGGAACACGAGCAAGCTATAATCTACACCCCTTGTGTTCCGTACTGTTAGGCTCTTACACATACTGAGTACGTACTCTTACGCGTTAGGGAGTGCTGAAAACACAACACTGTTGTGTAGCGAAACACCAATCTGTTTCTCAATCTCATATTTCAAAAACCAGAGCCAATTCGGTAATTCGGACTTCGTATTCGGATTCAGCGCACCAAAACCTTCGGAGAAGTATCCCCTGATTTCTGGATCTCAGGGTTGTCGGCCGGTGTAAGAGTGAAAGAGGTAAACAAGAGATGGACCAAAAAATGAACCGGCAAGATCCACATTATTAATCTTGGACCTTTTCTTAACACAAATCTATTGGTGGAATTCGGTCCTCACATTTTGTATACTAACTTACCTATAGCGCCTAGTCTAATAGACAGCAGTGAACGTGTTAAAAGTATGTATAGATGGAAGAGTAAGAAGGTAAATATTTACATAGGTGTCACATTACATCGATAGCCTTTAATAGTCCACTGCTGGACATAGGCCTCCCCTTGGAAAAGAGGTTTTGGCCTAATATACCACTCTGGCCAGACGGGTTGGTATAGGGTTAGTGTCAAGCTTTCCTTCTCTTTGCAGTGCTGTTGTGGTGTGAGACATAGTTTGCAATTTTTATTTTATAAATTTACAGACATATCTGAAGAATGCTTATAAAGCATCTTCAAGTAATTCTTTCTTTTACATCTTGTTTGCAGAAATTTAACTATTCTCTTGAAATAAACTGAAAATATATAAAACCTTTAAAACGGCTGAGATAACGATGACCCTTATTGGTTTTTCACGCGGTAAATTGAAAATAGTGTTTGTAATATTATAGTCCAAGCAAATAAAAAAAAAGCTCAATTAGTCGTAACTGTAATATGTAACAAATCAACTAATAGATATTATAAATGCGAAATATGAGGTTTTTGTGTCTCACGATTTCACGACGTAAGTAATCGTGAATTTTTTCTTACATGCTCCCTAGGGCACAGAACAGATCATAAAACATTTAAAACTTTTTAAAAGAAATTATGATTTAGTTTTTAATCATAAACCATATCTTTGCAAACGTATTTTTCAAAATATCATTAATCTAGTTTTCCAAGTAAGAAACGAAATTAAAGTTTCGTTTAATTTATTAAAAAACCGGTTTTAAGTACCAAAATTTATCTTAATTTTCATCATTTCTTATTTTTTGGAATTATTCCTTTATTTGTGCTGTAACACGTTTCTTTTCGCCAAATATTTCATGATTCTAGGTCAATGGGAACTACCATATAGGTTTTCGACCCAAAACCTATAGGGTACTTTCAGTTGACTTAGAATTGTCAATTTTGGTTAAAAGCAAGGTCTTACAGCACAAGTAGAGAAAATTCTGAAAAATAAAAGAAGTTGAAAATTAAGGTAAATTTTGGTACTTACAAGTTGGAAAATCGAAATTTGCCCATATCTTTTTATCGTGTTGACTCAGGACCTTGATTTTTATACACCTAATAGGACCATAGACCTCAGTATCTGGCATAAATTTCAACTTGCTAGGTCTACCCGTTCCTGAGAAAATCGGTGCTGACACATGGACAGACGCACAAGAAAGTGATCTTATAAGGGTTCCTTTTTTTCCTTTTGAGGTACGGAACCCTAAAAATGTATAATAGTGCGATTTTGTCAGTTTGCAAGGCGACATTTACAGATGTCTAGAGTTTATTTCCGAATTTTGAACAAAAAATCGTTAAAGGATATTTTGAATCGTTTTGAACAGTATTTAAAGGACTTTCAAGTCACATAACTTTATATATTTTATTAAAACATTTCTGACATCGTCTTATTTTCGAGTAGCGTTAGTTAGAAAAATATTATAATTATATACAACGATAGCATATCGTTAGCAATAATTTGAAGTATGATCGTGTAATAAATATAAGATGTAAGTATTTATAGTATGCGGGTAGTTTTATGTCGTTAAGTATATAGTGTCGTATTATCGTAATATTTGATAAATAGTGTTCGAGTGTTTTCACAACAATAGAAAGGAAGTACAACCTGTGGCAGCGGTAACCTGGCGTTCACCGGCGGTGGCGCGGGCGGGAGTGGCTGCGGTCCCTAGAGCGCTCATACCTATCGTGCCTGTCGTGCCTGTCGCGGCGCGGGCGGCGCGACGACGAGCGCGTCCGCAGCTCCTCCGACGACTCCCGGTACCTGTCCTTGTGCCGGTCGTAGTCCCTGCTCTTGGAAGATTTGTGTTTATCGTAGTGGTCGTCCTTCCTCTTCGATCTGGATTTCTCGGATCTCTCGTACTCGTCGTAGTACTTAGACTTGGAGTATCGTTTCTCGTCCGCCCGTGACGACTTCTCTTTTTTGTGTTTGACTCTTTTGGATTTTTTACGGGAACCGCTGGAGCTGGAATTTCTGCGTCTCCGTTTTTTCGCTTTGGTTTCCGACTCGATCTCCGGATCCGTTTCCGACGACCGTTCGCTCGAGCTAGACGAGGAATCTTCCTCGGAGTCGGAGGACGTCGTCGAGCTCTCTTTATTGTTGGTTTTGCTCGACTTTAAATTTGGACTGGGGGTGTGATGTCTTTTATTCGATTTTCTCGTTTTCTCCTCAGAGATAGATTCTAATTTTCTAACCCCGTCTACTTTATCTACAGTTTTATAACTATTACGCCTATCTTTCGAAATACGACGTGCAGGTACCTTCGTCGGCGTTTCACTTTCCACTGGTGGCGGCGTTGCAGAGGAACCTGAAAAGAAATTATGATATAATCTTCAAAACTTGACGTATGGCGGCTTGAATGAAATAACTAATTTCACAAAAAAAAAAAAAACGAATATATACATAAGTCTGCACTTCAACCAAATTCGATGGAACCCGTTTTCTGGTAACCATTTACGGAAAGGTATTAATGTAACTATTTGAAAATTATATTTTTTTAAATGATTTGCTTTCGTAGCGTTTACAATTAAAAAAGCCAGTGCGTCACAACTTTAAACACATTATATGAGTTTTAGAGTTCACTGGAACATTTAGATTATTTTGAACATCTACAGTTAGATGTGTCATCTTTCTTAACTCCTCAAATTCTCAGCGCGTTACTTTACTAAATGCCGGCAGCTTGTGGTAAACGAGATGTACGAATAAAGACCAACATTCTAAAATTAAGAAAACCGTTAGGTAACCAATAGGTTAAAATATTTTCCTTGCCTTTTTGTAGATAAAGTAAAATGAACTCTATATCTCAAAAATCCATTAAGTCACGAAACAAGCTTTGATACATTTAATTCAAGTTTATTCACGCACGTTCTTTAAAAAAATGCATTAAAAATAAATAAAAACTATTGAAAATTAATACGGTTTCAATTATTTTGAATTGCAATCACAGTGGCACGGATTTTTACTGTTATTGTAGAACCTCTTTATAATAATAACTAAATTGTTGTTCAACTAAAGAACTAAAGTTACCAACATAGATCGTAGAATAAGCATGCTAAAGTGGCGATAGTCGCTGGAGCAAACGTGTCGTAGAGTGGGGGCCGAGGATTGGTAAACCAAAGCTAGCTGAGATAGGGCTGACTGAGGGCACACATTGGGGAAGGCCTCCAGGGCCTCATGTTCAGCAATAGCCTGATTGATTGAGATTGACTCAAACACAATCACAATAAATTATAATATAATAATAATAATATTCTACCACATTCACACAACTCCATCTAGTCCCAAACTAAGCAGAGCTTGTACTATGGGTACTAGACAACTGATATAAATACATATATATATATATATACTTTTTTTATATATACATACATATTATACATAGAAACTCAGACCAAATCAAACATTAAATTTTATGCACACAAATGTTTGACTTAAACGGAAATCGAACCCGCGACCTTTAGAATAGCAGTCCGTTACACAAACCACTACGCCATCCGGTAAATTTATATTACATTTTACAATATTTCATCATTTTAATTATGACAATTCAAACATGATACATGATACCTCTTCAATAAATTATGGTTTCGTACGAAAGCTTGCAAACTGATTGGTCAGGGGGCGGGGCTTTATCGATGCGTCACTATTTGCTTAACGGGAATGGCTAATAGACACTTGTGCCACAAAACTGCCATATCTAATTTGGCTCAGTATAAGTGATTACATGTTAAAAGTGAGAGTAATACTAACGTGATCGGTTTGGCCGCTCTGGGGTGGCATGTGTGGGAGTCATGGGCTGTTCTTCGTTTTCTCTCGCCTCTGCGCGCCGCACCTCCGCCTCTATCTCCCGCGATGTACGCTCGAAGTCTAACCGTTTGCGTTTGATTATCTCCTGTCAATATATTATCATTTAAATATGTGCTATTCTATATTTAAAAGTTAGTTGGTTTCATCACAATCATTATCATTAACAGCCCATAATAGTCCACTTCTGGACATAGGCATCTCCCTAGAAAGGAGATTTGGCTTACTATACCATGTTGGCCAGTTGGATTGGTATAGTTTGTGTCAAGTTAAACTTCTTTTTGCAGTGCTATTGTTCTACGTAGTTAGCTGCCTTAGTCGGATCTTACGACACCCACAGGATAAATAGGGGTGGTGACACTCCGTATTCTTAATCCGTCACCACACGAATAGTTAGTGTTAATGTAAACAAATGTTTGTATACCTAAATAAATATGGCAAATATTCAGTAGTTACTTGATTGTCCAGACAACCAAATATTCTTGCAAATGCTTTAAAATTTTATTTATTTATGGCAAAAATTCTAAGATCCTCCAGTGATTTGATTCAGTTACGTATTTTTTACATAAAAGCATTTTAAAAGGAAAATTAATTTCTACTTTTAATAGGAGGCATATAATATTAACCTGCAGCTGATGGTCGGAGAGGTCATTCTGCTCATCTTCATCTCCGCTCTCATCGCTACTGCTCTCGTACGCTCCCAGCCCTGCACACACACAACAGTCACAACAATAGTCCAACAACTAGAAAGGACCCAGGTGTCATCACTTGACCTCCAGAGCATCCCCTATAATCCTTTAGAAAGTTAACTATCCTAACCTTTGTTCTTGATTATATTATTTTTATTTTTTTGCCGCAATAGAGTGTTTAATAAATATGTATGAGTTCTGTTTCCATAATCTAATTATCATAATGACATTTAAATAAAGGCACACACACAATATATCAAACATTTTCTTAATACAAAAAACTGTTTACAATAATCACAATTATTTAACATCTATAATAAATTCTGTACATTTCTTACCAAGTTTTTCCACTAAATACATTGTATTTTAAGACACTGTTGTTATAATATGTATTGCCAATTAGGTCAATACTAAAAAAACTAAGTGATGCTGGACTGCTGAAATGAGAAAGTCACATAACATACATGGCGGTTTAGTACTTCGTTTTCGCTATGAAGGGTAGAGGGCAAGGAACGGCTTTTCAATTGAATGTGCCCGTCAAAATATATCAAAAACATGGGTCCATACAAAGACAATGAGTGGCGCTACGGGATTAAAAGGACAACCTGCAATTAACGATGGTAGATGAAGTAAAATATACTGAAATTACCACTTCTTATTTCACTCAATTTCTAGGACACCACGTTCGGTTCATACACATTTGGTTAACTTTGCTCTCTATTCTCCAATGCTTTCAACACTGACACAATTTTCTTTCAACATTTTAAAGTAAAACCACCATTTATGTTTTCAAGGCAAACATCTGGCAGACTTTTTATTTTTTGTTTGATCGTCGGTTATTATAATTGCCATTAATTTATTAACGATGAGAAACCTTCGCCGTAATGCTGGATCGAAGCGAGTGTGCGAGATATTTGAACATGTTCAGGCGTTAGGAACGTAACTTACCGAGCCCACTGGCGATAGCAGCGAGTGCCTTGGACTTGCTCGCCTTCATAGCGTTGAGACGCGATGCTTTTACCATATAAATAAAACCAATATTAATCATAACACCACATGTATAATTGTCAACAGGCAACATCTGAAATAAGACTTTATTAGCCATTAAATAATACACATTTTAGCACAGCACAATTCTTCGTGTCCACATTCAAGTGTCTCGATGCGAGACGTTATATCACAGTGCATTGAATATCACAAAATTACAGTCAATACGCGAAGTTTTCTCGTGGTACATAGTAATGTCTTGATTGAGACCGTTCCTGTTTGGTTAAGCTTAGATGAGTGGAAATACCTTGTAAGGCGGTATATCGGGCCAATTCTTCCTGGCTCACCGTTTGGATCTCCTGGTCGGTCACCTCTAGTAGGATTTCCGTGAGCGATCGTCGTACTGCAAGCATCTGCGAATATACAGATAGCATTACTGTAGTAACAATATGATAACTTTAAGATATGTTGGATGTCATGAAATTATCATGAGAGGGATGAGTTCTAAATATGACAAATGAAATGAAAGTCATATAAAATGTCATAGCATATTTTGCCTTTTTATATTTTATAACCCTCTAATTCCATGAATGTTTATGAAACACTTAATTCCTGGGAAGACACTAAGGTCTAAGATACAGGCTCGCCCTAGGTTAGATGTTAGTCATCAATTATTATAAACACCCAGTTCATAAGAACATCTTAACTATTTTTACATGTTAAAAATCAAATGTATTATTGTGGTGTTGGTATTGATATCAATAAATTATTATTATTTAAAGTATAAAGCATTTTGAGAATTGAGATACAATGAAGTGTAAAAGTCTAGGGAGGGAATATTGGGTACACCTGGTTCTCCGGCTACTGGTACCTGAGATGGCGTGCGGTTTTTGGTCGGTTAGAGTCCGACATAACTACTGGTGAGTGTATCCAAGAGGATTTCCGCACAGAAAAAAGGGGAGAGAATATTATTTTGTGGTGTATTTAGAAATATATACCGGGTTACTGGGTAAGTCGACCTAAATATTTTATGAGGTTGCAGTTGCCATCATTTCTGATAGATTTCACTATGAAATACCGTATCCCAAACCTAACCATTTTCAAGAAATTGTACTTAGATTTTTTACAAAAAATTTGTCTCTTTTTACTTATATCCTTTATCTTATGTATTTTTCAAATGTTTTTATGTGGTTAATACATTGTTTTATATTTTCCTTTGCTAAAATTGTAGTTAATTTACTTTACTTTACTTTACTTAGATGGTGCATACTTACAAAAAGAAAAAAATGTTTTTTTTTCTTTGACGAATATTAAAAATATATATATAAAAAACCCGTACGTATTGTCAGCTATCTAACAAGGTATAACAGTCTAGAATGGTATCAGAATTCATAGAAAAAAATAGATGAAAGACCGGGAGTATTAAGAATTAACGTGCAGCTTCAGGACAAATGGGCAGGCTGAACGGGAGTTAAGTAGCAAATACCGGTTGGCCAAACCTCCTTCCCTCACAGAGATATTCGGGGGGAAAACAGACACTCTTGCAGATGTCAACAGATGGCGCTATTCACTATCAGATGACCCGTCTGTTTGGATACCATAAAAAATAGATATACATTTCACAATCAACAAATATCGGTCTTTTACTTACCACTTCTTGCATAATCTCCTCTTTACTCCTCTTCACGAGTGGGGGCAATTCCTCCCTCTCTTGCTTTACCTTTATTGATTCTTCCTCCTGTTCCTGTTTCACTGGACTTGATAGGGTCGTGTTTTCCTTCTCTTCTTCTTGGCCTTCTTCTCCTTCTGAATCTGATTCCTGTGCGAAGGCATAGTAGGTGAGTATATAACTGGTGCTATACAACTTAATTTTTTTTAAAGATAACTTTCGCACTAAGTATATACGAGTGCTGCTATTCATGTATGCGGAATAAAAAGTGAAACAAACAAGATATAGCATTTATTAGTCTTATTACTTTTCAAAATATTCGCAGTGGTGATGGATGCACTTTTGCATACGTTGAAACCAATTTTTATAGCACTTCCTATTCTGATTGACAACCTAATTTATTCTTCACTGTTGGGTATAAATAGAAATCGTTGGAGGCCAAGTCAGGGCTGTCTAGCGGATGACCCGATAAAAATCACTAAAGCAAATGGTCGCTGTTTTCGTGGTATAAATTAACATGGGGCTACAGTGCCACTAGATGACCCTCTAATTCGATCTTTTGATGTTCCAAATACTGAGTTTTTTGACCGACGTGTGGCAGCTAGCATTGTCATGATGAAGAAGGATTCTGCGTTATCGAATATTCTTTCTTACTTCTTCACAGATTTCTGGCAAACAAATGGTTGTGTACTATTCACAAATAACCGTTTTACGATCCTCTACGGCACTGTAGCCCCATGTTAATTTATGCCATAAAAACAGCGACCATTTGCTTCAGTGATTTTTATTGGGTTCGCCTGGTTCATCATGGAACACCCAAACCGTTGATTGTTGTTTTGTTTCAGGATCATACGCTTATATCCAAGATTCATCACCTGTGTATAGATATTATACAGATTTTGACGCACCCTGATTGTACTTTTGTAACAATTTTTTACACCAATCGACACGAGCCCGTTTTTGGTCAATTCTCAAGTTGTGCGGAATCCAACGTGAACAAATTTTTTAACAGCTAAATGTTCCTGGAATATTTTATATATAGCTACTCTAGTCCCCTGTACGTCACCCAATTTAATAAATGATTAATACATACGAGGGGTGATCAATAAGTAATGATAATCGATATGAAACAGAACTATTAGATTAAAAAAAGTATTTTATTTTTCAACATAGTCTCCTTGCAAGTTAATACATTTAGTGTATCTTTTTTCTAAGCCCATGATTCCCTTAGAAAAAAATTCTTTGTCTTGACCCTCCCAAAATGCCTCTACTGCGGCCATCACTTCACTATTGTCCTCAAATTTGTTGCCCCGGAGGTGTTCTTTGAGCCGAGGAAAGAGGTAGAAGTCACTGGGAGCTAGATCTGGCGAATAGGGAGGGTGTTCGAGCAGTTCGAACCCCGTTTCTTCAATGGCAGCCATCGCAACTGCGGCTTTGTGAGCCGGGGCGTTGTCTTGGTGAAACAGCACTCCAGCGCGCAGTTTACCGCGTCTTTTTGACTTAATAGCTTCTCGCAATCTTCTTATTTGGCCTGCGTAGTAAGAGCCTGTTATAGTGGCCCCCTTTTCCAAATATTCCACCATAATAATTCCTTCTGCATCCCAGAAAACAGACGCCATAACCTTTCCCGCTGAACTTGACACTTTGAATTTCTTCGGCGTTGGTGAGGAAGCTCGTTTCCAAGTCATTGATTGTTGTTTGGTTTCGGGATCAAAGTGGTGGATCCAGGTCTCGTCCATGATCACAAAACGCGACAAAAAAAAATCTTTATCGGCCTGGAACTTTTGAAGATTCACCCTCGAAATGTCGACTCGTTTCTTTTTTTGCTCGTCGGTTAACATTCTCGGTACCCAACGCGCAGAGACCTTTTTCATATGCATTTTGTTGACAATGATTTTTTGAACGCTGCCATAGGAGATCCCTGTGACCTCAGCTACATGCCTTACGGTCACCCTTCGATCGGCCAACACGATATCTTCCACTTTTTTGACGTTTTCTCCAGTAAGGGACGTGGAAGGGCGTCCCTCGCGATGTTCATCTTCAGTGGAGGTTCTGCCCAGCTTAAATTTCTTTGCCCAGCGTGCGACTGTGGAATATGGAGGAGCAGACTCCCCCAATGTTTCCTCTAAGTCGCTGTGTATGTCTTTGGTAGACATTTTTTTCAGGCAGAGGTACTTGATGACAGCTCTTATTTCATTTTTCTCCATTTTGATGTTTTCTCTTCGACAGTTCGTATTCAAATGAATGTATCTCCCGGTAATGGTGTCCTATTTATACATTTTTTTGAAGCTGAAGTACTGGATATATAAGCAAGCAGAAAAAAAAATAATTTGGGTTTTTGTGCGTTCTAGAAATACTCGATTATCATTACTTATTGATCACCCCTCGTATCTGAATTCTTGTCAGTAGCTTCATTTTAAACAGTCTAACAAACTTTCTTATTACGATAATTGTCGAAAGTGGTGCTTTTTGGCGGTAGCCCGCTTAAAATGTGTCGAATTCGTGATTACTTCTTTTTTTAACACATTAAACACCTAATTTACTAACAAGTTCGTAAAAGTTTGTGTCCGACAAAAATTCTGCTACAAATAGCTTGTCTACCAACGCAAGCATGTCGGTCATTAATTCCTTATAAAACACAGCGGTGATATTGTCCGACAAATTATTTGCTGCGTTTTCTATAGCCGACTGCTCGAATATGAGCATGTTCTTGAGGTTATGCTACCTAATAAATACATGTCGGACAAAATTAAAACAGCACTGACTGTTCGATAACTTCTGTCGGACAAGTTAATAAATCATAGCACGAAAATTTTACGACGCCATAAAGGATAAACAAATGACAGCTGCATGAAACAAATTGTATTCTTCAGCCAAAGAGTTCCATTTTTTAATGTTATAATTACTATTTTAATATTGTTCTGTCACTGGCCAGTTCCGGATACATAAATACTTACTTTATATACATTTATGAAACAAACAAAGAACAGCCAGACTGAGAACAACAATTTATTGATCACACAAAGTGTTGTCCCATGTGGGGATTGAACCCACAACAGTTAGCGCAGTATTAGCGCACTGCCGTGTTCAAGTGATGCGAGAACTTGGTATATAACATTTTCCAAAAAATCAAAGTATTTTACGAATGTGTTCGTTGGGGATTGATGTTGTTGTTCGACCACCAACCTATGTAACCTTCAATGTTCTAACGCCTTTTCACGGTGGCATAAAAAGTTCTAATTCATCCAAAATTTATAACATATTTTTGAATATCTTTTTTAGTGACAGATTTCTTATTTTAGTACTTAATCATGGCACGATACTCGACTTTGATGTGAAAGGCGTTATGTACCGTTACTATTCAGCAATGTAGTGTTAAAATGAGGGTAGTTTGAAAAATATGTAACGTTTCGATCTGTGATCGATTTTTTTAAAGAATTATATTGTGAATATTTGTTATTAAACCAAGGCCCTAATTACTGATTTTCAATTTTATGTAAATTTATATTTTTTCTTAAAGAAAATACTAACAAATTTGCTCTTAGGTGGAAGAACAGGTTGGCCGCTGGCCTCTGCTTTCATTCTTTCTAATTCCTCTTCTTCCAGCCTTTTCTTTTCTTTCTCTGCTACTTCCCTTGCTCTCTTCTCTTGTTCCCGCTCTATCGCCTTCTGCTTTTCACGTTCCATTTTTTCTAAACCTGCAGATTTTAATAAATATTTTAAAGGTGTATGGTAATTGAGTATTACTGGATATTTCGTATGTTTTCGTAAACCGTTTGATCATTGTGAGATTGGTATACAGGAATAAAATGAAACGCAAAATGTCAATGTGTTACCCGCGTTTGTTGTTATAACCGCGGGCGAAGCTAGTCTAAAAAAAGTAGCCTAATTTACTCCTTATGTCATCAGCTATCTGCTAGTGAAAGTCCCGTCGAAATCGGTCCAGCCGTTCCAGAGATTACCCGGAACAAACAGACAGACAGACAAAAATTGTAAAAAATGATATTTTGGCATATGTACCGTGTAAACATACATATGCATTTAGTAAAAAGCGGTTATTTTAATATTACAAACAGATACTCCAATTTTATTTATTTGTATAGATTTCTGTAAATGCTGTTAGTTTGGTTTACAGTATAAATCAACATAGGTACATAAACTACCCAGGTGTAAATTCAGAAACAGAGTGTGCCTTTAAATGAAAATGTTTCATACCATTTTAAGATATTATATTAACTGACTGGGTAACATTTAAAAAGATTAGCATAAAATAGAACGAATTTATGCTGTTCTAAATTTGTAAAGCATAAACCATACATATTGACTAGCCTGTTGGTGTAGTGGTTAATGGTCCTGCTAAGACAGGTATCGGAGTTCTGTTGCCCCCAGGACAAATAACTGTGTCATGTGATGAGCACTATCATTTGTTCTGGGTCTCGGAGGCACGATTAGACGACAGCGCGTAAGATGTGTATTGTGTGTCTTATTATACCTTCTCTAATCCACGCTGGAAGCTGTCTTCGCTTAGCTGCGTCAATAGTAGCACTTGGAATCGCTGTTGGCATTACTAATGGTTCTATCACCGCTGGTATCACTGGCGCTTTTTCTCTGAAATATTTATTTTGGTCGTTAGAAACATGTCAGCAAACATGTATATTTATTTTGCAATTTCTTTCACCACCAACAAAATCGAACGAGACCCTATTTAGGGATGAGGAGTTACAGTCACACTTAGAGCATTACTCTTTTATAGGATAACTTCAACCAGTTTAGATTCACTTCCATGCAAGTTATGGAATCGCCTGTCACAACAATAGTATAGGTATCCGTGAGAGAGCCATGATTCGGTACAAATGAGCCTACTCGACCGGAGTTATACCATGGCCTCACAGAAAACCGGTGTTGGCAATTCTTTCGTAGCTTTTCATCGAGGGAGTGAGGTTACCGAAGCAGAAATCCCCCTCCCCAAGGTTCTTAAGGGGGGGGGGGGCGTATCAGGTGAACCGTTTGCTCTCTTGCCCCCATATACCATAACAAGTTTGTCGTTACTTAAATTTGCCTACGCCTATTCAACCTGTGGGTGTAGTGAGAGCAGACAACAAAAAGAAAGCAAACTTGGCATAAACTCTTTACCAAACCGTCTGGTCAGCGTGGTATAGTAGGCAAAAACCTCCTTGCAAGCAGTGGACTATTAAAGGCTGTTGATGATGATGTGACTTAAATTTTAAAAAAGTGAGTTGTGTTAATGTTACCTTTGGGATCTGGAATTTCTGGGTTTATGTTCTCTGTTTTTGCTCTTAGATCGTCGGTCTCTACTTAAGCTGCTGCTACGGCTATTGGCTTGCTCCGCTTGCGGTGCTGTCCAGTACCCATGCTGAAACGTCGGTGCTGGCGTACCAGTCGTGTAACTGTTGAACAGTTTCAAATGTGCTATGCAAAAATATCGACCGATTTTATTCGCAAATAAAGTACTATGATGTAAATTAATGGGTTGTCTTCAATCTTCCAAGTAATGCATTTACAAAAGGCTGCTTCATTAACCATTTTATTTGTGTGTTATTGAGAACATTTCATGACATTCTGTTGAAGGCATTGTAATGGTGCACTGCATTAGGTCTTTTGTATATGAAATGACGGGTTTTAGTAATGAGTAAACGGTTTTTTATTGATAGCACTAAACAGTATATACGAGTAGTTTGTCCGAACATTAATCTTAACGCGGCTCACAGCTCCCTGTTAAACCAGGGACAGCATCAAGCAATAGAGTTTCTTGTCAAGTGGTACCTACGATATACACTGCAGGGGTGTATTCAGAAGAATTGCAATGTTGAAGCTCAGTGCAAAAAAACAACAAGTTTACCATACTTGAATAGCTTATACTTGAAATATAAATTGCGATATGAAAGTAATGTCAACTCTCTAACTGTGCTCGTCCTCACTGAGAGTGCGAAGATAATTAGAGTCGCCTACTAAATAGTGTTAGAATTTGGACAGGGTGGATCTTTTGAATGTACTTCAGGAATGAATTGATTAATCAATGTCTACCACGATTGAGGCGGTTAATTATTATCACGAAATAACACAATATTCATATCCAATAAGGCCTAACGATTGTGTAAAAGGAGAAATAAATAGAATATATTTTACAATGGTAATCTTTTTTTATAGATTTTTTGCATTATTAAATAGTTTGTACCCTAGATTATTTAATATTTTTGACTACATATTGAGTAGGTATGAAACCAGTAAATATGTCGCCTATAATAGCCTCTATTCGAAACATAGTTTTGTACCTCAAAAATATAGGCTTTCGTCAATTATTTTTTTATATTTTATTTTCTGTATGAGGCAAGTAAGTGTTAGACAAACCTTCCTGTGGAGCAAATTACTTTGGACTTATTCAAAAAAGGTCTTACACATATTCTCTAACATATTTGAAGTTAGGAAATGAGTCATAGAACAATTTGGTATTTTTATCATGTTGTCATTGTCTTTATCTTGATGTCATTGTTTACATTGACTATTGTGTAGTATAATCATTTGTTTCAACCTATCGGACACATTACCACAATTATATTAATATCCTGAAAAAAAAGGGTTGTGCATATTTTAAAGTTTAGTAGCACTTTCTGATATGTTTTGATACTATCTATGTAGCTGCATGAAGTTTCACGTTTATAATACAAAACTACCATGAGATTAAGTAATGACTGTTAGTCAGACAGGATGTATCACCTGCCAAGGTATTAGCCCATGGTTTTGTGGCTAATTCGTAAAAATGGTCCTTTCATGATGTGATTGACCACTTCGTAAAAGGGTCACATCATGAAATTATTAGGACAGATAAATGAGTAATCAGCATTCAATGAAGTACAAAACTGGATGACCTGAAATAAGTATTACTTGCTAGTAGAACTTGCTGTTCACTTAATACTATATTGTGCACATACAGATGCACCAGTAATCTTGGTGTTTTTACTTTATTCTTTATCTATTCTAGCATTTATAGTTTAACATTCCAGAATGGCCATCTTAAGGGTCCTGGTGCAGGTTTTACATGCACCCTTGCAAGTTAGAATTGTACAAATGTGAATGCTATGCACTTTAAAATAGGTATCTTTTCAAATTATCTTCTCTTTGATTGCAATTCTTTTACTTTAAAACATTTGATCAGATCTTTATCATAAAAAGATATGAATTTCTTGGTTTTTCTATTGAGTCTAAAGATAGTATTCACATTTATACTTTAATACATTTAAACTTAGAACATTAATTTGCTAGTATGGGTGAGCAGATTTTGATAGCAAAACTGCGATTACCCCTCATCTTAGTACAATTAGGTCAGTGCCTCTTTTGAATGCTGATCAAACATCTGACATGTATTTGGTATATATACATATGAAAGCCAATCCTTACTAAACGATACAAGTACTTTGTGTTATATGTACCTAATGATGTAGAAAAATCTGATTGTTCAAATGGTACATACATTTATGGTTTAGTGAGGATTGCCATTAAGAATTTATGAGATGATGGCGTTTGAGACTCAATGCCAATAACAAAATAAAAACACAGCCTTACCCTGGCATTGAAGCCGCTCCTTCTGGTGGCACATATCCCTCAAGCAATGGTGATATACCTAAAGCTGAGTCTGGTGTTATTTTGGAATCTGTAGGCCCAGAGCCCGACCAAGCCCAACCTTGAGAGTTAAATAGAACTTAACAATAGTACATAATTCAATCATGTTTGTTTCCTCTAAGATGCATAATCTTTATGAGATCACACACTATAAATGAATGAATGGTTTTTGATCATAAAAAATTATGAAAGTGAATGTTTTACATTTTGGACATCTATTTCTTATAGTGACATCTCACAATATGATAGTAACTAACAAAAATATTCTATTTAACAGAAATAGTAATAAATGGTTGATTAACTGAACAAAATACGAAGAAATAGTGTTGTAACACCAATCACTTGAATTGTAGTTTACAGACTGTGATAGTTTAGATTTTTTTAGAAAGTTCCATGACCTCTTGCATAATAGCAATGCAATACAACTTAGGGTTTCAATATTAAAAACTGTTTTATAAAAAATAATAAACAAGGTATAAAGTTCCTGCTTAAGGTGAGGACTGCTTATAATGTTACCATCTTACATATCTTACACTATATTGTCAAGGAGACTGCAAAAACGCAAAGAGAATTTGTAATACTACATATCAACAAAGGTTGCAAATTGAAATATTTAGATATTTTATTAATAAAATTTAGAAAATATTGATATTCACAATTTCATATTGCTCTTGGGCATTTTTGCAATCGCACCATGATTTGTAAGATCTTATAAGTTCATTTCTCAATCAGAGACCAGTGTAATCAAAATAAAGGCCTTTTTAGTTATACATATCATCATTATAACTGATTCTAAATTTGTAAATAGCCATTCTCTTTTAAAGTATAAATTCAGTTTTAACAATATCCAAATATCCATCAAGGTTATTTTAGTAAGCTGAAATCTATCACTTTAATAATTAATTACACCTAGTATTTGCTCAGGATTTCAACACAATAACAGGATAATTCAACCCTCACATAGCAAATGCAAAGATCATTTACCCCATTGATTATTCCATCCGCCCCAAGAGTTTGTAGATGAGTTCCACTCCGCACCCGGAGGTATCGGCCCATCAGAGTTAGTGTCTGGATTTTCAACCTCCATCGGCGCTTCGCCTTCTTCTTCGGGCTTGGCAGGTGGCGCAGGCGGCACAGCCACAATCGCTGCGGCCTCCTTCATTGCAATCCATTGTTGTGCTAAAGCTGCCCAATCAACTTGACTAGAATCTATATTTTGATATGCAGTGGGATTAAGTGCCCACTGCGTGGGATAAGCAGTATTTGCGGCATCTTTGCCGGAGTACATTGTGGTTAAACTAATTTACAGCTTTATATTAAATATAAGTTTCACATAACACTTAAGTAATCAGACACCATTTAAATAAAGATTTATGTAGTTTATTGAAGCATTATAGCTAATCAATTATAAAAAAATTAATTTGCACAAAACTGTTCTCAACACATTTAGATCATAGACTAAAAACAGTTGTTTTTTTTCAAGTCATGTCATTTTGAGGCTTTATGGTCTAAATTTTATTTGATCTAAATGTGTGTGTTTAAAGTCAATTTAAAACAAAATAGTCACATTCTTAATTTGCAAATTTATGGATCTTAAAAATTATAAAAGACATACTTAAAGTAATGAAGTACTCAATTTTATTTCATTCCTATAAGTGAATGGAACATACTTCTTATTTTACAACAAATTTAGAGATGGCGCTATGAACAAAGTAATTAAAATACTAGACAAAAGATGGCGCTAAAACATTGTAGTTAAACTACTAGACACGGGATGGCTCTATTTCGTTATTTTACGTAAAGTCGAATCAAACATCAATCCTCATTTTGTTAGTTTTTAACCGTCTTCAAAAACACAAAAGAGGAGGCACAATTGTTTTTAACACTTTATTGAGCATTTATAAAGCTGACATAGACCATTAGTATTATTTATTGTGCAGAGGGCTTGGCACCGACTTCAAAGAGAGTAGAAGGTATCTATTGCTATTTATTATCGCAGAAAAAGGAATAATATTAGAAGTGATATATAATATTTTACACACATAAAGAAGTCTACGCTAATTCGTCCCACAATATTTATTGAATATAAATTATAAACACCATTTATAATGTTACTAATACTCGTTTCACGCGAGCTCTATTGTTCTAAAGGCGGTACGACAAGACACTACATGAGTATAAATACTTTTTATTTGACAGATATTATGCTTTTGTGGATTACTGTATATGAACATTTTATTGTAGATCAGCAAATAAATAAATGTTTTGCAATTATGAATTTAAATATACATTAATATTAACTTTACATATCTCCTCCACGGCAGTCTGATCCCAAACTAGGAAGAGCCTGAAGCAGACTGCTGATTGTAGATCTGTACTGAATACAAATTATTATGTTTTAGTGAAGTATAATATGCTTATGTCTTATTCAGTTTAGTTTAGCATTCTTTATTCAGTTAGGCACAACTTGTCGCAAACGTATTTGTTGGTTATCGCGATCAAAAATAGCCTTTTTAGGTTTTTGATTACACAAACTTATTATACTGTCCGTGTGGTGACGGATTAAGAGCAGTGTCACCACCTCTTTTCATCCCGTGGGTGTCGTAAGAGGCGACTAAGGGAGCAAAATACGCAGGACAACAACACTACAAAAAGAAGGAAAACTTGAAACAAACCTTATACCAACCCGTCTGGCCAGCGCGGTATAAGTAGGCCAAAACCTCCTTTCTAAGGAGAAGCCTTTGGCCAGCAGTGGTAGCAGCAATAAAAGTCCATTCTTTTTTGCTGTCGGTTAAAATTTATTTTACAAAAAAATCAGCCTGTAAAACTGAAAAACATTGTGAAGAACCAATATCTTCGATAGTTATAATATTGCGATGTCGAATGAATTATAATAACATTTGCTACATCACTAATTATTTTCGTGCAAAATGTACCGAAATATTCGAAATATTCCTGCTGGAAATGCAGTTCATTGCGTGCTCTCGTATAGTTACAATATGTTTAGTACTCAACTTTATTACGCAATGTAAAATTGTTTTAATATATTAGTTTATTTCTGTCTTGTATTACATAATACTTTGTGATTTTTAACCGACTTCAAAAAGGAGGAGGTTATCAATTCGGATGTTTATATTACAGGATTATTTTCTTAAACCAAAGATTTGTTACTTGTGTATTATACACACCTATTTGCTGCTTAATTGTTTTAAATTTTTGTCTAAAAATAATCTTTACAAGCGAGTTGTGCTTAGTAAAGGCATTTATAGAATAAAGTACATTGGAGTAGCAGTAGTCGGTATATAAGTACCTACAGCTTCTGAAAATGTTACAGAAAGGACACCGACAGATTTGTACGGAACTTTATTACTATTTCGTAGCTAAAGCTATGTAGAAACCGATGGCATAATTAGTAGTTTAGTATCAAATCAGTAATAAAAAGATAAAAAATAAAAACGTCTAGATGTTTTGTAAGTATTTATTTAGTTCTCCGCTATCAGCATATACCTACCTATCTGTGGTTTCATCTCAAACAGATGCAAGTCTGGGTACCTACCTACATACATATTACATATCACGGAGACGCAACACACTAGTTCACGCATCCATCTATCACTGACGCGGTCGTGCTTCTCTTCAATGTTTGTGACTAAAGTTTTTTATTCCCTTGTATTTTATTTATTATTCTCGTTAACACCTTTAGCTAAGTAAAATAATGTTTGTGTGTCCTACGCTTTACCTATCATGCTGCTGTCCATATATTACGTCACAAGTTAAGGGGAGGGGGGGGGGGGGGCGGAGAAGAGGTTGATAGACGAAGTAAAATATTGTGTGACAGGGGGTGGGAAGCGTTCAAGTTTCGTGACGTCACATTTCTAAAAATAACTAAGTATTAAAACGTGAAATTTGAGTTATTAACAGTAATAATATTCATAATTTTTCGTTTTGTTGATTTTATAAAAAAAGGTTAAATGAAATAAAATAAAGTAAAATCGTAAGCCATCTCTCCCTGTTGGCAGACTGTCGGAAACAGTGAGACACACGGCCTCCCATTGCGGATCTCACCAGGGCCTCAATACTACTATTTTATGTTCACGCCAAACCACTGTCATACTGACACGCTATTGAGATGCCATCGAGTGGCCATTGGCATCGGTATAAATATCGGTAGTCTACACTAACTCAGTGTCTTTACAGTGGCGATGGAATGGCAGTGGCTCATCAGTGGTGATATCAAAAAGATTGCCATATTTGTAAAAATAAATAAATTATTTAATTATAATTTGAAAATATATTACGTTTTTTTGATGGCATCTCAATAGCGTGTCAGTGGTATGTCAGTGGCTTGGCGTGAACATAAAATAGCAGAATTGAGGCCCAGGGTCGGTCTCAGATGGTACGAAGGGCTGTGTGGCATCTGCCACCGGCGTAGACGTCTCAATGTGACCACGACCGCTCTGCCAAGAGCGACACGACAGAGAAGAAGAAAATGATTATTTAAATTCTGGAACTCCTTTTTAAAATTTAATAATTTTAGATGTAAAATTGCAAAACATGTATGTCACGTCATACGTTACCTTTTACAACTGATCACATTTGTGATATCAACTATCACAAATGTGGCCGGCTGTGCCGGACAGGGGTGGGGGTAAAAAAATATGTCATTCTTGTGACGTATTTTATAGATGGTACCTAATAGATATTGTTGTTTATTTTTTCACGAGCAAACTCTTGCGGGTCATCATTTTATAGGGGCTCACGGGGTGAAGTGGTATGTCGGAATCGAACCGACTAAAACCACGGTGTTCCGTCGCATGTGGGTCTATTGCAGGGACTCGTGTTTACTCTGGCAATAAAGTCCCTGAGAACTCCGGCGACCTTCGCTGTCATAGGCAGTCACAACATTGAGTGCAGAGGGCCTTGCCCTCCTTCCAGTTTAGAGAGGTTTGCGATTTTATTAATAATTAAACTATACTAACTAATAATTAAACTTATAACTATTAATTAAAATAAGATAAAATATTATTAATTATTATTAATAATATTCGTAGAATAATAAAATGAAACCGTATACACATATTTAAAAATTAATTTAATATTCTTCATTTTTATACATTAACGGCATCCATTCATTCATCAACTAACAACATAATTAGCTCGCCAACAATATTCACAATTCGTTCACAAACTTATCTACATAAAATTAAATTTACACAACGAACTCCTATTAACATTTTCGGAGTCTGACAATTTGTGTCACCACTTCTACTGATACTTTAATCACTTACATTATGCAAGTCTTTGTAATTTCACTAATTTAACTTAACGCTAGTAGAGGTTCTTCGGGGTCATGTTTTGGGCCAACGAACTTTGAATTGGTTTTCTTCCACTGTTCCTTTTTGTTCAACATTTTCTGTTTTGTTATTGCCAATTTGGCTTTGGCTTTTGATAATTTTGGCGTGCTCGTCGTTTTGTCTATACGTTCTAAGGTCTCTATTATATTTTTGGGTTTCGATAAAACTGTTCTTGATTCTTCACTAATTTCGTCCATCGTCGAGTTCTTATTAGCGTACACTACAACATAATGGGAATAGGCAGAGTTAGAAGGTGTATTGATGTCTGCGAAATCTCTGAAGTTAGCAAATTGATCCTGGTTGTAATTCGGTCTGGGATTGGCTATGTAGCCCAGTTCGTATGAAGGTCTGCCATGGCCGTTATTATAATAATTAAATCCATCACCATACTCATCTTCGTCATTCTGTGCCAAGAATGTGCCTCCTCTGATGATGCCAAAATTTCCTGAGCCGAGCAAACTGGGACTTGCCTCAACGAGTGGTGCTGCCGTGGGTGTGCTCTGTTTGCTGAAATTATCTACATTTCTGTAGCCTCCAAATAGTGGAAAGTTCAGAAGCGATCTGTAAGATTTGGGTCTTTGACTGTAGGCTCCTTCTTGATTATTGAACCCATGTCTAAAATTGTTTTGCTGCCTTGGTTCAAAGAGGTTAGCGAAGCTCGGGAAGTAAGTTTGTGATTTACCGACGAGTTCTATTGAATGATCTGTGTGGTCGTCGGTTGCAGCTGCCACTGGCTCTTGATATTTTTCTGCTAGTCCCGGCGGAGGCGCCACTGCTTCTGATATGATTTCTGAAGATTCAGCTGCTAGGTCTCTCGTGTCATCTGAAATGAAGGAGAAAATTGGTCAGTTATGGATAGCACGTTATAAGAAAACTAGTACATTTCATATCCTTTCTGTTTATACTTGCATATAACATTTTTTTAAGGGCCTAGCCTAGTCGTACGTTAAAAACTATTGATAGGTAGGTTTTTTAACAATTAAATGGGACACATAATATGTCACTTAACTATAAGTGTTTATTTATTTATTTATCTTTACGCACTTTTGTACATCGGCGGACTTAATGCCCAGGGCATTCTCTTCCAGTAAACCTTTGGGTGATTTAGAAATCTTGTAAGGTAGGTGCACAGAGGTTACGTCATAATATCAAATGTACAATGAAAATATATACGGTTCACTACATATATAAACATATACATACATACTACACTTACACATCATAAATACGCATAGATACACATACATTATCTTTTATCTGTAAATCTATTCTATGTTAGGCCTGAGCGTGATTATTGACTGGAGTGCCAACAGAATGATGTGATAATAAATTAATGGTCGGTTTAAAATAAGGTGTCCTATTCAATCACGTTCAACGACATATTTATTTTGAATAAATTACCGTAATGTAACGTGCAAAATGTTTCTCAAACGTGTGGTATGTTAATTTTGACAAAGCCATTGAACGTTTAGAATTCTTAAAGATTTTTGCACTAAAAAAATCTAATGTCCTTGATTTTCAATCGGTACACCTATGGTTAATTACCCCAGACACAGAACAGATGATCGGGGTCATGATACAATTATTTGTCAGGACATCCGAATCGAAATTTGGCAGGTTCATTAACCAATAGATCAATGAGGCCAGTTAAATTAATCTGTAATGTTTTTTTTTCATCTATTCTAAGAACGCAACAGGTATGGAGTAACTAAGTATTACCAACGGAGCTCCTAGCTCCGTTAAGATTAGTTAATTACTATATGCTATGGTAAAATATTAAATTTCATATATCATGACATGGGCAGTACTAGTTAATTACTTCTTTATACTTTATGCACAATATGTGCAGTCTTCCTTTTACATATATAAGTAAATTTCAGATTCAATACTGATAAAGCAGCTGTATGAGGTATAAGCCATTGTAAGAAGTTGGAGTCTCTGGTGTATTTGGAGTAAAACTTATATTCCTCTTCAACTGTTATGTAAGAGAGTTAATCAATAAATATTTAAAAATGACCGTTATATGACCACATAAAAAGACTTTTACTTTTTAGTTTTGTAAGTGTCACAGGTTAAAAAGGTGAGATTTTTGTAATAAATATATAATTTAAAAATAAATTTACTAATGCATAAGTATCTTAATCAGGTTGTACTCTCGATTATACAAAGATTCTATAATATTTCACTTACGTATTTATAATTACAATTAAAAAGTAGTCGAAGGAAGTAGAATAGTTCTACTTTTCTTAGGAATTCCAAGAACGAGCTGTTATTTTTGGCGCAAGGTATATCGTATATGATATTTCGCAATAATTTGCCTTCGGCGTCCAGTTACGTGTGCTTACGTGAACATTATCGTTGATATAAGTCTCCTTAAATGTTCTCGACCGCTTGCAAGATTGGCGTTTGCGTGCGGCTTTGCCTGCTTGGCCCTTAGTCGAGTAAATTGGTTTCTTACGAAGGTCAGGTAAATTTGTTTTAAATTTCATGTAAACTAGTTTAATGCTAATAATGGCCGTCGTATGCACTAGGGCCGTTAGCGTTGGAACCGTAAGAACTCTGCATCTTTTCGCTAGAAGATTACACATGATAAACTTATTGCAGTGGTAGGCTGATACTTAATTTTATAAAGCACAAACTCAACTGTGTACTCGAACAAAATTAACAACAAAGACAAAGACTACAGGGCAATTTTTGATTTATTTGGTGTATTGTTGTGTTTTCTTCTATTACGTAAGTTTTTTTATGATTACATGTTTTGGTTTTATAACATTAACAATAAGCCAAGTAACAAAATTAATTGTTGTCGTACATACTCTACTCACCATTGAAACTTTCGTAAATAATTATTATAGGTAATTGCATCTTCGTTTTCTAATCAAATATTTTTAGATTTCACAAACCTTACGCGATATGAATACCGATCTTTTATTTGCCTAGCGTTGTGTCACGGCCTCAAACTGCTAGATCTCAATTGCCCTGTAAATTCTGTTCAATTGTTTCTTTTCTCGTTCAAATTCTTTAGTTAGTGAAATGTGTATATTTTTCAATGTGGCTAGCGTGGTACAGTAGCCCAAATCTTCCTTTCTAAGGAAAGGCCTATGTCCAACAGTAGAATTGCTGTGGCAATTATTTAATTTTTCCATCGATGTGTCTTCATAAGATAGTTCTTATTTCGTACTAAGGTACAACGTTACCTAGTGCTAGAGTAATTATTTTATTATATAATTAGGTACATATGATTTTATTGCCTGTGTTTTAGATATTGCTGTGGTCAACGGTAAGTGAAAACGGAGCTCTTATGTCATAATACGACTAGTGGCTTGTGACCGTTTGCGGTTTTTGTGGTTTAGTGTCGTGTTTCCTGCAGAAAAAGTATTTCACTTTTGAAACTGGAATTTAGAACATAATGTTTAGTTTGTTTTGATCATAGAGATTTAACCTAGAGGGAACAAGACCTCCAATCTTGCAATATAGGCAAAGAGAGAGATGGATAATAGATAGTCCCTTCTATGTCTTGCTAGCTGAGCTCTGTGTTTGGCTGTGTGAATAAAAGGGGTTAATATGTAACTAATCGCAGCTTAGCTAAACAGAGACAGGGGGAAATAGCAGGTATCCATCTGTCTCGTAGCCTGTATCGCTTCGACTTACAGGCAGCTGTACCCCGTGGTCATTCTACGGTGATATCTCTATGGTTTAATACTTACAGACATCTATCTATGAAAAATATACCTATATATAAAAAAAACTATCATATCTATAATCACCTAACTGTCATCGTTCTTGTGATTTTTTTTTAATTTCAATTCAGCTTGAGCTTTTAGCACTTAAATTGTTTGAGTTGAAGGAAATATCAAATAAAATCGCGAACAGGGCAGGAAGATCATGACCCACGGCGGTATTTAACGGTGCCTGAGTTAAAGGGAAATTAGGTGAGAACATTGAAGGGCGAATCAAACTATTAAGTTGGGTCATCTTTGTGTAGTTAGAACCATCTAAAACTGCATATATATTGCTGATAAATAGATAATACTTTTTTACACCAGGATTTTACAGACATTATAAAGTTGTTAAACGTGCAACAAAAATTATATACAAACGTTTGTTAACTATTTAAGGAAATTAAAAATGGTTGATATTGAAAGTTGCATATTAGTAAATATTTTATAGGTACCTACTTTTAGCAGAACATTACTTAGTACCTCTGTTCTAAATTATTTACCATAATAAACTACAACATTAATACGTCAGGCATCTGTGTTTCATAAATATCATTCCAAATTATTATCATAAGCTGTATTCATATTAGTTCATTACAATTCAATATTAAAAGGCTAGGAAAGCTAACATTTTAATTATCCTTACAGTAAAAATAACCAACTAAATGTTAAAACTTAATATTTTATAGTTGTTTCACAGTTGTGTTATCCATAAAAGTAAGTACTATAAAACTAATAAATTATATCAATAAATAAATCATCACATATGTAAGGGGCCGCCCATAAATTACGTCACACGTTAAGGGGGAGGGGGAGCCAGTAGATAAAATGTGACATTGTATGACAAGGGATGGGAGGGAAGTTGACAAAATGGCAGAACAATGAAGTCAAATTGATTCATTTATAGAAATCCATAGTAGTTATTTTGATTTAATTATTTTTTTTAATTGCTTATTTAATTATTCGCTATTTATAAAACTTAAACTACATAGAAAAATTAAATGGTACACTGCAACATTGTTAGTATAAACATTCAGCACCATTGATGAAATATGAAGAGACACGAAATCCATAGACACGATAAACGTGTACAGTCAATAAAATACAAAACAATTATTTTACTCATCATTATAGAAATAAATTTACGTCAGATATATGTTTGCAACACAACATTTAACATATTACGTATTCACAATAATCTAGCCGTACGCTAGTGACCCTTAACCTCCAACCCACTAACATGGGACACGTTCCAAAAACAAACATTTGGCGGGAAAATTGTTACAAAAATATTTTGAAATCGTGTCAAATAAGTCGGAGAGAAAGTCTCTTGATATAATTGGGGGAAGACTGCAATTGTGCAAAGTGTTCATTTTAATTGCAAGGTTGACTTATATCTTGTGTAGTTTCGCCATTTTATTTAAATTTGAGATTAAGGATATTGTGTACAAAATACTTTTGTATTTTTACTATGTCACAATAGCCAATCGAAGTATTCGTAATTACACAACTATTCTTTTGCACTGTAAGTATAGTAATAATTATAAGTATTTTTTTTTGTTGTTTTCAATAAGTGGTCTGAGCATTTCTTGCTATACTTGCCAAAAATAAAACCGTGTTATCACAGTGATGATTACTTCTACCATAATTATAATAGAGTGTTTTCTTATTGTTCACTAAGAATAAATACGTCATTAAATGTCAGGCGACGACTTTCCTTAAAATTAAAATTATTGCGAATACATGAAAGCTAAATAGTAAAATGTAATAGTTAAATCAATAACAATGATGTCACATTCGATCGTTGTAGTGGTTGTCAAGACGTCTTGATTTGTTTGCGGATGGCTGGCCGTCGATATTGTATGCATCTTTATCACCGAATTTTGTTAAGTTCCTGTTTTTATTGTATTACATATTTTATTTTGTCGGCTTACAATCGTTCTAATTAAACTAAAACAATTAAATATTCAAAAATAATATCATTCATCATTCTTACATAGTATAAGACGAAGGAAATCTTTCTAAGGATGACAACCTCTGAACGATGATTTTTTATCGTTAATCTTCTGGTACCACTATCTCCATATACTGTTGATGAGACTCTTGATTTATAGTCTTTCATCATATTCCTTAAAGAAACACTGTGACAGCCATAACTTGACCATAAACAATGGTTCTGACCGCATTACGAGGTGACCTAAGCTACCTGTTATAGAGATTTCAATCTTTACAGCTTTATGACATAACTACTTTGTTTGTGGTTTTAAGTATTTGTTATGTGATGGATCGTTAGCCGAAATTGTTAGGCAGTACCGAATTTGCGGCACTGCCTAACACTTTTGTGGACTTTTTAATAGTATTAAATAATATTTCAAAAAATATAAAAATAACGTAGGAAATATTTTTTTATGTGACTCACTGACGAAACTGGACTTTAAAAAGATATAATTAAAAAAAATGAATATTAACTAATTTATAAAAACAAAACAACAAATTTGTTTTTTTAGGATTCTAACCCGAAGGATCCGAAGTAGTTTAGGTAAATCCAGATTTTTTTCAAGGAAAAGATGTGAAAGTGTTTATATCATAATTATTTTATTTTTTTATTTTTTTTTATGTTAGAGGGGGCAGACGAGCAGACGGGTCACCTGATGGAAAGTGACTATCGCCGCCCATGAACGTCTGCAACTCAGGAGACACAAACGCGTTGCCGGCCTTTTAGGAAGAAGTACGCTCTTTTCTTGAAGGTTTGAAGGGTTGAGGTCGTATCGGTCCGGAAATACCACAGACGATAACCCGTTCCACAAATTGGTTGTGGCCCAATTGTTGGGCAAAAAGTGTCTCGAAAAGCGACAGTAGTCGACAACTATCCAGGTAATGAGAATTTTGCCGTGTGGAACGATGGCGGAAATTAGCGGCTGGTATTAGTCCGAACCATTTCTCGGAGCACTCTCCATGATATATGCGATAGAGAATGCAGAGTGAAGCCAGATCTCTACGTAACGCCAAGGGATCGAGCCGATCGGAGATGTTTGGGCTATCGACGATTCGAGTCGCTCTTCGTTGGATGCGGTCCAGAGGGAGAAGCTGGTACTGAGGTGCCCCTGCATAGAGATGAGAACAGTATTCCATATGTAGCCGGACTTGCGCCTTATAGAGCTGGCCGGAGTAAAATACTGCCTCGCTCTGTTCAGTACACCGAGCTTCTTCGAGGCCAATTTGACCTTACCCTTTAAGTGACCCCGAAACTAGACTTCGCTCGACATGTCGATGCCTAGGATGCCGATGCTGGCTGAGGCAGTTAGGGAGGAGCTCTCAAACTGAGGTGATACGACAAATGGTATCTTTTTTTGCAGTGAACGCACGAAAATATAGTTTTACATCTAGAAATTACCATAAAATAACTACACAAGCGTATCGAATTAAAAAAAAATTACATAAAAACTTTAAGCAATATTTAATTTCACAGTTATCTATCAAACGTAAATATTTGGGGCAAAATGATTATTCGGCCTTAATAGTTGCGGGGTAATGAATGAATTGAACCACGCAATTGCTGCGTTTCGTGGTTTATAAATAAAAGTAAGTGAGTAAAATATTGCGCCATTGCAATACCATAACAGTATCTACGCATTCAGTGCGATATCGAGACACCATGGCAATTATTTGTAAAGTTTCACTGGCAATTATGCTATAATCTATATCTTTAAAAGAAGAAACTGATTTACTGATTGATCGATCAACGCACAGCAGAAACTGCTGGGTCTAGAAGCATTAGATTTAGCACAAATGTCCTTGGGTAACGTAGGGGTGAACTAAGATAGGGTAATTAAAAAGCGGCGGTAGTAGCGTTTTCAAACTCGCAGTAAATACTCTTTATTAAAAGTAATAAATAACGTTGTTACTAATTCTTTTAAATCTACCCTTAACGTATTATATTACGGTACGGTATTATTGTAGTATTATTGTACGGGGAATAATTTATTTTACTTATCGATTTCAAACTATTAGTATAGTTTTACTATGATGTCTGATGTCGACCACCACGCGGACGAAGTCACAGGCAGACTAGTATAATATAAAGCGATAAATTGTTGCCGATAATTCACCTTAAATAAGATTAATAAATCAGTCTATAATAACAAT